GGGATTTTTTGGGGGGTAATTGGGATTTTAGGGGGTTAACTGGGATTTTGGGGGGTTAACAGGGATTTTTGGGGGTTAACTGGGATTTTTTGGGGGGTAATTGGGATTTTTGGGGGTTAACTGTGATTTTTGTGGGGTAATGGCGATTTTTGTGGGTTAATTGGGATTTTTGTGGGTTAACTGGGATTTTTGGGGTGTTAACTGGGATTTTCGAGGGGTTTCAAGTCGATTTTGGGGTGATAACGCTGATTTTGAGGGAAAATAATAATTTTTCGGTAGCCAACGGGGATTTTTTTGGGGGCTTTTCTCCTCCCGCAGGCTCCCCCCCTTCTTCCTCCTCATCCCCCCCCAAGATGGACGCCGAACCCGACCCCCCCCCAACTGGGGGTCCCCCTCAATTTGGGGGCTCCCCCTCCTTCAACCTCCCGTTAATTTTGGAAGAACTCCGCCTCCTCCAACAACGCCAACTCCACCAAATGCAGCTGACGGAAGAAATTTGTCGCCAAGTTTTACTTTTGGGAACCCTCGAGCACCCGAAAAATTCCTTCACCCCAAAAAACGAGCCCCCAAAACCCCAATTTTTTCAAATTTTGCCTCATTTCGGCCTTAAAACCCAAACGAAAAATTTCGGAATCGCGTCGTTTTTTCCCCCTTTGAGCGGCGTGGCTTCTCCGCCGGGATTTTTACGGCCCAAAAATTTCGGGTTAAATTCCGGGGGGTTGGATTTAGGGAATCGTTACGGATGCGGATTTTGTGGAAAAAAATTTGGGAGCGAAAGCGCTCGGCAAATTCACCTGCGGTCGCACACGGGCGAGCGGCCGTATAAATGTAACGTTTGCGGCAATCGCTTCACTACCCGGGGAAATTTAAAAGTTCATTTTCATCGGCATCGGGAAAAATATCCCGACGTTCAGATGAATCCTCATCCCGTACCCCAACATCTGGATTTTCTTCTCCCCGCGCTTCCAAATTTGGCCGGAAAAGGGGAAAATTTGGCCGGAAATCGGCAAAATCTCGACGGAAAAGGGGAAAATTTGTCCGGAAATCGGCAAAATCTCGATGGAAATGGGCAAAATGTCGACAGAAATCTGAAAAGTCTCGACGGAAATGGGCAAAATGTCGATGGAAATGGGCAAAATGTCGACGGAAATGGGCAAAATGTCGATGGAAATGGGCAAAATGTCGACAGAAATCTGAAAAGTCTCGACGGAAATCGGCAAAATGTCGACGGAAATCGGCAAAATCTTGATGGAAATCGGCAAAAAGGCGCCGGAACGACCCAAAATCTTACTGGGAGCGGTCAAAATGGTGCCGGAAATCGGCAAAATCTCGACAGAAATGGACAAAATGGCGCCGGAAATGGGCAAAATGTCACCGGAACGACCCAAAATGTCACCGGAACGACCCAAAATCTCGCCGGAATGACCCAAAATCTTACTGGGAGCGGTGAAAATGTCACCGGAACGACCCAAAATGTCACCGGGA